GAATACTGTAAACATACTTGTGTCTAACCACCCCTCCCTGTGAGGTAAAACCTGTTCTTCTTCAAGCATTTATTGAGCTATTTCTGGGACATAATCTAAGGAGAATATATTGTTGGTCACCTACTTACCATATTCCTAGAACGGTAGAGAGATGATGGGCACACATGGTCACTGCCCTCCAGGGCTTCACAGTCTAGTGGAGGAAGAGGACTCATTGGAAAAGAGGTGTCTGGACCGGGCTAATCAGATACTCTTCTTTTTGAGTGGTTAATGCCTCTCAGAGCTACTGATCTCATTCATAGACTCAGTTGCCTCTGTGAGCCTCATTTCTGTAGTGCCTTCTCAGTCTTCCTAAAGAAAAGAGCCACGACCCCAGTGGCCCAAATTCCCATCTGTGAAGGAGTTGGGAGTTGCTGACAGTTAGGGTGGTCATAGATGTTGGTGAAGAAACTGGTAGAAAGATCCAGAAGAGCATGACTCTAAGATGCTTAAGATGTACCAACAGTTAGAGTAGGGAGCTGAGGTCAGGAGTTACAAACTGAGCAGAAACTTCAGTCTAGGATGGCGGGCTAGAGATATGGGCAAGTGCTATGGAAAACCCGTCTGTTGCCTGCAGTGGCCCTTTCCTGGCATTTGGGAAGGTCTATGTGAAGATCCAGGGTTGCAGCCGACACCAAATCATACAAACATGACAAATCTGTTAGGGTACCTTTTAGTTGCTTGTAGAAAATGTAACTAACAGAGGCTTAAACAAATAGGGGTTCTACTTATCACTCAAGCCAAACCCACCATCTTGCTCCTGTCTCCATCTCTCCCATTTGCCAAACCATGAGGAAGGAGTGCAGTGTAATAGGGGAGACAGGGAATCTGGTCCAAGGGTTGGGTAAGTCAGTTCCCATATTGTTCCACCAAACTTGGCCAGGACTCTTTATTGCAAGTAACAGAAATTCAACTCAAACTAACTTATATATAAAAAGAGATGATATTAGATCACCCAACAGAAACCCCCAGGGGCTAATGTGCCTCAGGCAAGGTCATTGGGCATCTCTGTCTCTTGTCTTCTGTAAGCTCTGCTCTCTGCATTATTGCTTCTTTCTCTCCCAGCATTGTGGCAAAGTGACCATGAACAGTCCAGGCTTACAGCCTACCAATTGGAGGTCTCCAGGTGCAGGAGGGGGCTGCTTTCTCAGTAGCTTCTCATTGGCCTGGCTTGAGCCAAGTGTGCATCCATGAACCAATTCCTGCCCGCTGGTTGGTCAGTCCCAGCACACGGACTGCTGTCTACAGTGGAGGGGTAGGATCTGCTCCATCCAAAGCTTCTGGGTTGAGGGTTGGTGGATCCCCAAGGGAAAATGGGCACTGGAACCAAAAGAAGGAGTAATTAATGTTGGCCAGGCAAAGCCTACCACTGTGATAATACCACTGCCTTCCCTCAGCCCACTTGTGGGAAGGATTGAGTGGGAGAAGACAGACAGAAAGAGCTACATGTAATTAGCTGTTGTTTCCCAATATACTCAGACTTGTGTCTTCTTTGATGGCATCCTCTTTTTCCCATCCTCAAATTCAGCTTACTTGGGAAATAATGTATTTTGAAATTAAAAAAATTATTTAGTAACATTTAAGAACTAGGAACTTTCACACAAACAATCCAGATGTCTGACTATTCTTGAAAAGCTGGAAGATCTGGCACCCGTCAGTTGTGCCAGGATGGGGTTTCCCCTCACAGGGGCAGGTACTGCCCAGTCTTCCCCGACCCGGGCCCCAGGCGACATCGGGATTCTTCTCCTGTCTCCACAGCCTCATCCTGCCTGGTACCCTCACTTTCATGCCTTTGCCCAAAGGTCTTGCCTCTTCCTCCCTAGCAATCTAAATCCCATCCATCCTTGAAAGCTAATTAAAGTACCAGGACTCCCTCAAGCCTCCTCTAAGCATCCCAGCCCTCAGAGAGCTCTCCCTTCTGCTCCTCTGTGTCAGGACGTCCGCTGACAGCCAGAACTGCACAGGCTGAGTCCCCAAGCAGCTGCGAGTGCAGGAGGGAGCCACCTGCACCATAAAACTGACGAGGGCTTCTAGAAAGGGCAGAGGCAGGTGAGTATGCCATCCCTGGTGAGAGAAGATGAGAGAAGATAAGTTGGAATTGACCTGGCAAAGAAATCGAGAAATGTATTTTATATCATTTCTTTTGAAATAAACCTCTATACCGTATTTATAATTCAAAATATAGGAACACACACAATGTGCCTTCTTACTGCAACCAGCTTTTAAAGAATTATAGTGATGCCATTGCTCAGTTTCAGAAGTGAAAATGTCAAGGTCGTTGGTGTTCAGGGTTTACCCTGTGTCCGTGAAGGTGCCTTGTGAGTAGGAATTGCAGTAAAGCTGGGGTGAAAAGATGACACGTGATTCCCTTTGACTGAGGGATGAGGTGCTTCTACGTTTTAATTCCGTCATACAGTAAATAGTATGTGGAGATGGTATTCTGAGAGCTAATGTTAGAATCATTTAATCTGTGAACGTCACATCAGTGTAGTTAAAGGGGAGTAAGTATATGATATAAACACTTTTCTATGATTCAGAGAGTAATAAATAATAGCACAGCTCCACTGTTTAAGGAAAACAGTGTAGCAATTTAGAGTAATAGCCTAACATGACATGACTGTCCCCTCATTTTTAACCCTTAAATTAAAAAAAAAGAATAAAATACAATGTAATATACTTTCAACTAAGTAAAACTGTTTTCATATGTGTAGACAAGGATAGAGAGATAACTATTCAAAAATTAAAATGACTTTTTAATGAAGGAAGTGAATGGCTTATAGATGGCTTTAATACACATTTTAAAGGTATTTAATATTTTCACATTTTCTTGTCATTTAACAAAAGTAGAGGATATCCATTCACTTGGAAGAAAAGGATATTGTCTTCTTAATCTCTGACTTAAAGAAACTGACATGTCACTGTAAAGAGCCCATAGAACTAGAAGGGGAAGGTGATGCATTAAAGGCTTTGCAAGCTTTCACTTGCGCATCCTTTTGTTTTTTAAAGGTGTCATGCTGCCCCCTGGTGTTCAACAAGCTAAAATGTAACATCTCAAATGGGGGCTACGCTTTTCATATTTTCTGAATAATCAAGGCGATTCAATAAGGTGGGGTTGTGGGGAGAAATACCTCGTCCTATAATCTTATGCATATTCCATATGTTGTCAGTATTTTCTGTTTTTAAAATCACATTTAAAACGTCACACGTTCCTAAACCCTTGACGGGCAGGTTTGCAGGCTTTAGGTGCCCTAAAGTTGCCGGGACTTGTCAGCAGGGCTCTGGGAGACGCCCAGTGCTTCAGGCACTTTGGATGACATGGAAATCAGCCTCCAAAAGTTTGATACTTTCTTAATAAAATGGATCCTAGAGGAAACAACAGGATTACCAAACTCAGGCCCATAATCTTACAGGACCTTCTCTGAGGTTCTGTTTAAAATCTTTAAATCCAAGGAAAATAAATAAATATGGATGCGTTTTGAGTAGACATTGCATAAGAAAACAGTGACCACATATGACCCAAAGCAAGGTCAGGTCCTGCTTTAATGGGGCCTGAAGTGTGCATATAATTTGGAGAGCCCTTAAAGAAAAACCTAAAAAATACATCCTTTTGCAATTTTATACAAGCCACCTGAGGAGCTCCTCGAAGAGTCTGGAAGCTCCTGGCCTCTAAGTAAGGGCCCCAGAAGCTTCAGTGTCATAGATTCAGGGAAATTGGCCTCTGACGTCACCAAGGTATTATTTCACTGCAGCTTCTGGACTTTTCCTTGAGCATTATAACTCACAGTGCCTTGATGAATTAGGAAATATATACAAATTCAAGAATGTGATAGCATTTATGTATTCTTTATATCCTCTGACCGCTGAGAATTGATGGTCTTTGAACCATTCTAGCCAAATGAAAATAAATCAGTTCATTTACACAGAAACATCTTTAGTGACTTTGGTTGTATGTAGAAGAATTATAGAAGATTAGAGGCTTCCAGGAGTCGAGGAGAGAGTGATGGAATCAGTGCAGTCATTTAAAACTATTTTCAAAGGCTGAATCCTGACAATCGGTTTTCATTTCCAGCTAACCCCCAGGAGAAAAGAGAGTGTGTTCCCTGATCACATGTGAAAATCTAGATGTTAATCTCAAAGATTAGAAGCTAGTCCAAGTGGAAAAAAAAGTCACTTGGCTTTCACAAGGAAGGGGTTTCTGTATCCAAATCAGAACATGGCTTTTTGGGGATACTAATCACAGGAAATAAAAAGCTTCCTTGGGTGAAGCCTCAAGCAGCCACCTCATCGTGGGTTCCTTTAAAGTTCTGAATAGCACGTAACACTTCCAAATATTCTGTCTTCTCCCTCCACTTCTTTGGTTATTTATCATACATTACCCCAGTTTCCTTCCACAGGGTGTAAAATTCGTAACCACAGGGCTCTTGCCTGTCTTGTCCCCAGAGCAGGACCCCTGCACTTGACCATGCAGACTACGCTGTCAGACATCATGGGACGCCCTTCACCTTGAAGTCTGTGTGAATGGCTCCCATAGAGCTGCAGTGCCAAGGGCTGACCCTGGCACAGGATGGTCCCCCAACAGTGATGTATTGAGTGAGTGAATAAGTTGTACATCAGCATGTTTATTATTCTCACTTGAAAAAAGGATGAGAAATGGAAAGATTTTGTGTCTCATGAATCAAAGTACGTACATTCCTGTATGCAAACTAGTTTCACTTTGATGACTGTTTCTGACTAAGTTGACTCTTGTAGACTGATTTAGCTTGGGGCAAGTCTATAAAAGTAACATTAATGAAATAGAAAGTCCAGGTCTTCCGATTTCCCGTGTCACATTCTATGTGTTACAGTTTCCCTGTCCCCAAATCCAGCTTCCCAGACTCCTTGTGCTTTTCTGAGTCTGTGACCAGGGAATGACAGTGGATGCACCGTTCCCTGTTTTTTGTTTTGTTTTGTTTTTCTGGCAGCATCCAGCGAGCATGGCGCGAGTACCTGCAGCGACAGGAGCCCCTGGAGAAGAGGAGCCCATCACCGCCCTCTGTGTCCTCAGACAAGCTGAGCAGCTCTGTCAGCATGAACACCTTCTCAGACAGCAGCACACCCGTGAGTGCACGTTTCCTTTTCATGACCTTGGGATGTGAGCAGGTGGTTTGTGATGGATCTGCAGTTGCTTGTTTGCTATATGTGAACCCATAGTGAGGATTTTGTCCTCTCAAAACCAAGACACAATTCAAAAACACAACGTGAACTTTTATCAAGTCTGAGGGAATTGATTGCGTTTGAAATCAACCTAAACTACTCATTTGTGTGTTGGCATTCTTCTATTACTGAGAATATCTTTCTGCTTTTCTTTATAAGAGCACGCTCCTTTTAGTCTGTGTCGTTGGTAGCATTTTGAGGTGCAAATAGGATAGAAGATTAGCTTGGTTACAAGGATTTTAAAGAGAACTTTCATAGGAAGAATTGAAAGGGGTTACAAATTCAGGGGTTGCATCTCAGATGCCTACAAGACCAGGTAAGTAATCTGTGTGACTGATGCTGGCTGAGTTGTGACTGGCTCACTGAATGAAGGCGTCATCTAAAGAGGCAGCCCACCTTGCCTCCTGGAAGTCTGTTGCCAGGTGGTAAAACAGAAAAAAATGTTGCCAAGGGTCATTTTCTTTCTTCAAGTAATGCCAGAAATCCAGATTTTTAAATGTTGGCAACCAGTAAGAAAAATTTAAATGTAAATAGACCATGCCCATGGACTGCAGTTGTCCTGGGGGCCACCAGTTTAAGAACTCGAGTATAAGGCTGAATGATGAAAGAACCTGTTGAAAGCCTTTTTTTGAAAAACGATACGCAGCAGCTGTGATGGGAAATAAATGATGAGGCGATTGTAATGCAGAGTTGTGTGGATTTAGCCCCTGGGATCACTTACCATAGTCACTGCAGTACTGAAAGAAGTTAGAAAGTGAAGTAACTACACAGGTGCATTATTTCCAAAAAAATCTTCCTTGAATACTTTGTAATCATGTTTGTTCAGTGGTGAAAAGTCTTCCCAACAGCCGAAATAACATACTCATGTTGGGATCAAGCAAAGGTTGTTTTGAAATGTTTTCAGATGATAGCGTTGCCTAGTCTTTAGGAAATGGCTTCATCTAGCTATGGATTCTAAGGAGAGGGCAGTAAGTTAAGTTTATGGCTGTGCAAATAATTGTGGCAGAAGATCTATTTTTAGCTGACAGCAGAAATTGAATACTTTCGTGAATCTGCACTTGTCAAAGACAGTTTTGCGGGGGAATGAATTGTCTTAAGGGGCCTCACTGTCACTAGAGGACGCTCATGAACCAGTTTGGAAAATGTCTGCGTTTGTTTAGTCAAGTGTATTTAACTCATGACTTGTGAGTGGAAAAGAATGTGAAAATGGAGTGTTTGGGTTGCCTTCGCTGTGAATGCCAATACAAGGTGCGAATTAAATGGCTTTGAAGACTCGATTTGAATGATGGAAACTGAATATCAGAAATCACTCTGCCAGTGAGTGAAAGATTTGGGTTTCCTGCTTTTGTGTTTTCTCACAGTTCCCATTGTGGACCATGTCAACTGTCCTGCGATGTCTAATGGCTTCAGTGTTGCTTTGGGTGGTTAACCTTTTGGCTTATTGGAATTCGGGATGAATCTATCTTTGCTTTATATTTATGCTGCCACACTACTTGGATTCTGACACCTCAAGTGTTTCTGTGTAAATGCACGTGGTTCCCCCTCGTGGGTCCTCATGTTTATATATAGTTTTGCTCAGCTTTGCTAATAGTTTTACCTGACTTAATTAAGCCAAGCCTCCAAGTCCCCCAATGTTTCTTAGGTAAGGAGATTTCCTCCCTCAAGTGTCCCTGGCAATTTGGTTTCCCATAAGGTGTGTCCATCCGACTGAATTGGGAGTGGTACCTGTTCCACCACCGCATCGTCATGTCTTGTCTCTGTGCTTGTGGGACAAAGGCGACTCTATTCCGTGTGTGAAAGTTTGGCTCACTCTTGATTGTCTACACACAGAATCAAAACAGACTTTCCAAAAACATTATTGGAATTAGCTTCAGAAAGCAAGCAGACCCTGCTCAGAATTCTAATAAGGTTATTGATTATTAGGACAACTTTGATATTGATGATGGCAGTGGGTGTGACACTAAATGTACAGAATAAAATATGAAAATATAAGATGTTGGGACATTCCCAAGTCTTTTGTTTGTCAGGCAGGTAAAATACCCAGGCCATCATTGTTTAAAACTTTATGCCTAACTGTTTGGAGTTGGTATAACTAGCTAAGGTAGTTTAATCTCCCATGATTATCTCTTTGCTGAGACTTCTTTGATGAAGATTCATTCTTACGTCTTTTGTTGGTCACAGCCCCATGAAAGGAAACTGACTCTACTCCACCTTGACGAGCCTGCCAGATGCACTGGGTTCATGTATATTCTCAGGGAGCCCCAGGTAGAAGACTTGCTTTTACCCCTCTCTGAAGTAGACCTCAAGTTTGTGGAGGGGATAAGGAAGACCGGGTCTCCCTTGGCTAAGCCTGTCACAAAGAGATGAGCTTTCTCTAATAATCAGTGAGTGCATTTGGAACTTCAGGGTTAAAAGCTTTCAGTCCATGTCAAATGTTCTCAATATGGTGTCTCCCTAGGGGGTTCTCTGGGCCTCTGGCTCCCACTAGATCCCCTCCAGCTTACTGAACCTCAGCCCTCTTTCTCTGGGCTTCATCTATCACTGTTGCTGCCTAGACCATGGTCTGTCTTCTCTCATCTGATCAGCTGCCTGTCTCATCCCAAGTACTAACCCTCTACTAACCTCTAATGCAGCCGCAGTTGGAGGCCAGTCTGCCCTTGCCTAACCCATGGGCCTTGCCAGCTGCTTCACGAACCCCGTGCCCATAATAACTGCAATTACTGCTTATGCTAGCTGTCTGCCCCAGGCACGCGCCGCATGGGAAGCCAGCAACCTGACGGGAGGAGGTGGGGGAGGAGCCCTGTGCTGAGCTGAGAATGATGCTTCTGCGTGCTCCTGCTCTCTTTAGGCTAAGCATGGTGGTTAATAAAGTCCTTAGAATATTTCTCTAAAATAAATAGCAACAGCAGTGTTTCAGTGCGAGCTCTTAAATTCATCGTCTTAATAGGAGCTGAGCACTTGTTACGTGGCAGGGACTTTGCTAATGCTTTCCGTGGATTATTTCATTTAATCCTCTCTGTGACCATATGAAAGAGGTGACTGTTATTATCTCCATTTTACAGATGATGAAAATGAAACTTAAAGAGAGAACTGACTTGCCCTGGGTTACTCACTGGGCTGGAGCCTGCAGGCTTCACTATTCTGCTGTATCGTAACACTTGGAAGTAAGCCTGCATTTAGATGTGGTCAAGCCATGAAAGAGATAATCAGTGCATTAGTGCCTTTCTAAGACTATTTTACAATTTAGTAGGTACAAACAGTGAATGAAAGAATCCTCATTTGATTTTATAAACTGCCTCATTCAGTGCTCTTTGATTAAAACCTCAAACCTCAGCTGCTCAGTACCAAATAAAAGAGCAACAGGAGGGAAGAAGATACTAAGTTATGTTAGCAATTTGCATATTAAGTGCCCTTATACCGCAGCGTGTCATGTGGTAACAGAAAAATCTGTTTTGGAAATATCAATTTTGAATAGCAACTGTTATTAGGAAATGGCGCTTGTTGGTATCAAATTGAGAAAAAAAGAATAACTCTTTTTAAAAAACCACAACAATATAGTTATTGCACAGAGGGAAACACTGGAAAATGCTTTGTTTATTTTTTATTAATCAATTTCATGTGACCAAATACTTACTCTTTTAGTTCCCAGCTTCAAGAAATCTGTAACTTGTCTAATAGCGTATCATGGAAAGAAATTACAGACCAGTACATTGTAAACTACTAGGTTAATACCTTTTTTACAAATCATTAGCGTATCCATGCAGATAAAACCAGAAAAATCTTTGGATTGTTTGGGGACATTCTCAACCCGGTTTGGTTTGAATTGATTCTGTCTGCCTGGGCCTGCCTTCCTGGCCACACCCACTTTCTCCCATTGGTTCCCATACTATTGTGATCTGGCCTGTAGGGGGCAGCGTGGCTCATGGAATGAGGCCCTGGCTTGGTGAGAGGACCTGACATAAAATAGCAGCTCTGCCACTGTTTTTGTGAGTCCAAGTTATAAATCACTTGAGAGGCCCTTCTTCATCTGCAAACTGGAAACAACACCCACCTCAGAGATGGATTGTTATTGCGGTGAAGACTGAATGGCACTCCGTATGTAAAACAGCACAGAGCCTGGACCCTGAAGGCTCTCAATAAATTGTCAGTTCTGAATCTGCTCTTGAAAATACTCCATGCATTTAAAACACTGTGGACGACTTGTGAAAAGCAGAGGTGAAATTTTTACCTAGGTTCCCACTGGGGTGAGGGGTGCAGGCACAGAGCCTGTTTCCAATTCACCAAATGAATCCATGAGAATCAGATTGTGTCCTAGAATACCTGTATTCATATATACATGTATTCATAGTATATATGTGCACACACACATGTTCTGAAATTGGAGCTGTACAAGAGTAATAAATTAAACATTTATTTTAGTGTTTGTTACTTCTTTTAAAGCTAATTTTCAAGGTCCAAAGTTTAAGCCAGGTGCAAATACTTTTGCCTCTAAATGAGTAGCCCTCTTCTAAGAGCCCACACCCACATACAGAGTGAAAGCAAGCCTAGATCATCCTCTCACTTCTACCTGAGAAAGAATAAATGGGAGGTTCTGCAGCGTGTCGGGGAGAACAGGGATCTGTGGCCTCACCTCTCAGGCGGGTGAGTGCAGAAAGCACCATTCCAGCAGCTGCACAACCCCGGCCACAAGTCCTTGCTTCACTCCTGGTCAGGAAGAATTACAGTCCTTGTAATTCTTGAGCAGTTTTTGTGATTCTTAAAAATCTTGAGCAGATTCCCAAGCAGTGATTCCCCTGAAGATCCTGTTACCTCAGTTGTCCTGGAGCAAAGCTGTGGAGTCTCATATCTCTAGGCTGGCTTGAGTGGTCCTGGCTCTTAGCAAGAGTATCTGGGTAGTCAGCACCGAGCAGCACCCAGACCTTCCCAAGTACTGTGCCTGCCTGCCAAACACGGCAGGTGCACCGGTATTCAAAATGCTTAATCATCCTCAAGTTTTATTGCCCTTCTTTGAGATTTAATACCTCCAATATATTAGGAAAAATCTAGTGACTGAAGAGAGAAAGTCTTCCTGTAAAGTTGCACTTGTTTTGGGAGGAAATTCAGGCTCTGAAAAAGGATTTTCTGGGACCCCTTCCAATACACTCTTGAGAGCTGCAAAATTATAGAGAATGTAAGCTTTGTGCTACTGAATAATTTAATAACCTAGATTTTCCAGGTCAGGGACAAGTTACAGTATTATGCCCAGCTGTTACAAATTCAGGCCCCGTGAGTTCTAATGTTTCAGCGCCCAGGCTCTATCTACCCACTATCTAGCCTTTCAGACCTCGAAATAGCACTTTTGTTTTTTTAATCATTCTGTTTGTCTCAGATTTTGGTTCAGAGAATACCAATAATCATATGTCAAAAGAGAAAGCTTCTTGGTATTTGCATAGAAGTAAATACATTTCTCTTTTCTTCTAACCAGGGTCTTAGAGAACAAATGTTTTCTGTTACAGAGTTTTAGAAATTGTATAATATATTACCATATATTATATAGCCATATAATTATAACCAGTTTAAATGAATAAAATGGAATTGTATAAAAATATCTTTATACCACATTTTCCTTTTTATATCTTTGAACATTGATTGATCATAAAGATTCCTCTTCCCAAATCATCCTTTTAACATATGATTTGAGGACATTTTTCTTGATAGGTTTAAAAAATGAGCATGTTGTTTCAGTTCGGGAATTAAAAAAAAATTTTTAAGGACTGCTAACATCGAACATTTCCTGGGTTCAGAATGATATGCAACATGGACAGTTCCTTGTTTGATAACTGACTCATTCATCCACAGCAATACACTAAATCCTCCTAAGCAGTCGCGGTCACTGACCTATGAGCACAGATGCAAAGATCTGGACACCAAGCCCCTCACTCTGCACAAGGAAAGTGGAGAAAGAATTTGTTCTCTTTGCAGTTTACCTTGAGTCCAGTCTCAGCGTTTGTCCTCACAGAGGTCCTGTCCTTATTCTGCAGCTTGTGTGAGATACAGCGCTGAATCCCTAGTTTAGACCCATAGTGCACCCTCTCCTACAAAATGCAGTTTCACCATAGCTAATCAGCATTTCACTCTTTGGATGAGTATGAAAGATGCTTTAGGATCTGAGAAGAAATTGTATGTGGCGGAACCGGCGTGAGGTCTACTATTGTATTCCTTTTGTTTCTGGAAATTTCGTTGGCCTCAGCCTGTTTAAGATGTTCTTTTTGTAAACAACACATCCTTGGAGGGAAGGGGAGTTATTCACACCCATGGATTAGATCTACATCACTCTTTCACTCATTCAACAAATATCTGAGTGTCTACTTGGTGCTGGGCCTTTGGAGATAAAATGATCACCCCAATACATGTAACCTCTGTCCTTACAGAATTTTCATAATTCCCTGG